GCACGCGCGGAGCGCGGCAGGTGCGTCCGCACACGTGACTGCACACATCGGGAAACATTTTCGCCCCCGCCATTCTTGTCGAACAAAAGTGCGGCGGGGTGGCCAGCATGCTGACACACCCGCTGTCCGTATCAAAAACCAATGGGCAATGATCGCGGGGTGGCCGCGCATGCTCCAGATCTGTTCACGGAGTGCACTTTGTATTGTTTGTTGAAAGGGATGGCGGCTCCGCGCACAGCAGGATGTGTGCTGGCAGCCCCGCCTTCACTGTCAACAGTACAACGCGCTCGCAGGGCCCACGAACATGACCCAATATTTAGCCCCACTGTTTTTTGTATCGTTGTTTCGACAGGGATGGTGGGCGGGGGGTTGTTATCATGGGTGCCCGCATGGGCCTGGGCTGGCTGCAGGTCGCTCGGGGGAGGGGGGGTCTTAACGCATATGGGGAATTCATCCATCTATCCCCAAGCCACAAGACGCGTCGCTCACCCACACCCGCTCTCCCATGACATAATTTGCACCCGAGTCTCAGCACGCGCAGGAGCTGCCATCGACAACCATGGGGAATCAATGCGGACGCTAGCCAGGTGCGCGATGCCCGCCAGGTGCACCGCACGTGCCAGGTACGCCACGCGCGCCAGGTGCGCCACATCAGGCGGTATGTCGACCGCCCCATCATCTTCGCCAAAAAACAAATCAAAATCACGACGGCGGGTGCGCAAGCGCTGTGTATTGTGCGCGTGCGTGCGCCGCAATCATTTTGCGCTTGTTGTTGACATGTTGACAGGGACAGCAGGGCTGCACGCAGCAGGCAGCATGCCGCCTCACCCGCCGCCACGGGCAACGCGAACTCTGCACTTTTCCGTCGAAAGGGATGGTGGGCATGCGCGCAACAGACAATGTGCCGGCCCTCCCGCAGTCTCTTTCAAACACCATTCAAAGTGATAGCGGGGCGTCCGCGCATGATCGATATGTTGGTGCAACGTTCGCTTTGTATTGTTTCCTTGTTGCAAGGGGTGATTGAGGGGTGTTGTCATTGCATGCAGCATGCAATATGCCCCCCCCCCTCTGCCGCCTCTGCCAGAACAAACAATTCAAAGTGATCGTTGGGCGTCTGCGCGTGTTCCAGATTGTGGTGGGAAGTGTATGTTAGACTGCCTGTTACAGGAGATGATTGGGGGTCTTGGAAGTGCACGCGGCAGGCAATATGCGGCCCACCCCCGCCGCCCCTGCCCAAAAAAATGTGCAAAGAGATCGCGGGGCGCCGCGTTTTTTCCAGATTTTGATGCAGAGTGGACTTTGCATTGTTTTTGTGGCGGGGACGGCGGGTGCGGGGCGCTGACATGGGTTCAACATTTTTGTTCGCCGGTCGGGTGAGGGAGGGGCCGTATTTTATTGGGAATCGTGATGCACACTTCCCCGAAGGGGAAGACTGGCGATAGAAGTGGAAGCGTCCTAAACCACTCACGCCCTACAGGGGTGATGAGACTGTCGCGGGTGACTGCCCGGCAAAAGCCGCGGTTTCTTGCGATGGCTAGAGGCTCGCGCGTTGCGCGCTTCGCAAAGCACCGATCAAATGACGAGGGTGGAATGTGTGCAGTTTCTGCGGCAGGCTCGATAGGAGAGTGGCAGCCTCGCGGCTCGCAGCACCCTGGGGCGGCAAGGCTCCATTCGGATACGCATAAGACGGCGTCCCCTCGACATTCCAGGAGCCCGCGAAAGTGGAAATACACTCGCAATTCGGACGGCGATGCCCTGTCTGATCCGAATAATGCGTTATTCCACGGGCCCCCGCAGAAGCCCATGGACGCGGCGGAAGTTCCGCTGCGTGCATCCTCCAGAAGCGACGAGATCGCATCTTATCAGAGTAAGATGTCGCTCCGCGGACCCTCCCAAGAACCCACGAACGCTTCGACATTTTCGCAGTTCGCAGCCGGGGACAGCTTCGCAGCGCAGAACCCGAGGACGGCGAGGCCCATCTGATGCGAGGAATACGTCACATCGTGCGCACCCCCAAGAGCTCACGAACATTGATGCACACTAGCAGTTCGCAGCCCCCTGGGACGGTGAGGCCTCGCCCGATCTGAATGATATCACCCGGAGGGACCTCCCAGCAGGCCAGGAACGTTGCATGGGCCGTGCAGCTTGCAGCCCCCAAGGACGGCGAGGTCTCAGCGTGTCTGAAAAAGAGACGTCGCTCCGCTGGATATCCCAGGGGCCCTCGACACGCAGCCCCCAAGGACGGCGACGACCCGTCTGATGTGTGTATGGCGTCGCTCCGCTGAACCTCCTGGGAAACCACGAACGCGGCAACAGCTTCGCTTGTCGCAGCGCCCCCGAACGGCGAGGCTTCACCTGAACTAAATAAGGCGTCGCTCCGCTGCTCTCGTCTTCCCCAGAGCCCGCGAAGGTGGCGATGGCTTCGCAGTTCGCAGCCCCGCGGAAACGGCGAGAGGCAAGAGGAAGGAATGGGGAAGAGGAAGGAGGAGGAAGGGGAGGAGGAGGAGGATGAGGAGGAGGAGGATGAGGAGGAGGAGGAGGATGAGGAGGAGGAGTAGGAGGGGGGGGACGAGGAGTGGAAACCGCAGTGCTTTATTTAACGCGGAAGCTATTCATATCAGGGCCAGGGGCATGTTATCTTCCGATCGTGAACGAATTCCCAGACAGTTCGAATCCGTATGGTTTTTGCCGAGTTGCGTTGCCCGCATGGGTTTTGCCGAGTTGCGAAAGCAACGATGACGCCCGTCTGGGTTTTGCTGAGCTGCGTCGCGGTCCTGTGGCGGCGAGCCCCGATCGCGGAGACACGGTTGCAGCTCCCAGCGGGGCCAACCCGTCGCCCGCGGCAACACGGAGTCGAAGCAGGGGTGGTGTTGGACCGCTTGCGGCGGGGTCAAAGGCAATGGGCGACGGAGAGGAGTGCCCCGCGGCCGCCGCCGCAGTGGCCGCCTCCAGGGCCCCCCTTCAGTTTTTTTTACAGTCGGGGCCCTGAAGGAGGAACCCTTTTGGTTGGGGAGGGGCTCCGCGTTCCTGAAGTGTTTCACAGCTTGCCTCAGGTGTCCCTAATGTTTTCGATTGGAAATCGAAGTTTAACTTATGGAAGAAAAGGGCCTCGTTCCTTATTTAGGGTTCCTTAGGTCAACGCCCCGACTGTACAGGGGCGGAGGAGGGGGGGCCCTGGTATCTGACGTCCCTGTGTAGTATGTGTTTTTGGCCAGCGACGATGGACCCCGCTCCCTCGGATATCCTAGTCGCGTCCCAACGACCGTCCAGCAATCGTCCACCTCAGAGGCAGATTAGAGCAGAGCAGACCAGAGTAGATATTACAATATTATATCAGTAAGGTCAAGCATAATAGAGTAGAGCATCATAGAGCAGCGCAGGGTCGAGAAAAGCAGAGCAGAGTAGGGCCGAGTAGAGCAGAGTAGAGTAGAGAGTCGGGCAGATGGTAGAGTAGAGTCGGGTACAACAGAGTCGAGCAGAGCAGGTCAGAACAGGGTAGGGTGGAGTAGGGTCCACCCCAGTCCAGTCCAGTTCAATACAGTTCAGTCTACTTCACCCCACCGTAGCCCACTTCACGTCAGTCTTCTGAGTGGTTCGGTGTTTGCACTGGCTGATATGCTTGAACTTGTTTGTACACTTCGAACTTGTTTCAAACTGTAGTTGGACTTTGTTCAGAAGTGTAGCGTTTAACCAGGCTGCACCATAACTTGTTGTGATTTTTGGGAACTTTGACGTTCCGCAATGGTGGTTTGAACTTTCATGGTTTTGATTCGACTGGCATTTAAATTCGTTTGTCCTCCATTCGTTTAGCTTGTGCAGCGCCTTCCTACGCTGTCCTCCTTGCAACGCTTGCTTCGTCTTTCCCCCCATTACCCTCCTTCCTCTCGGGGAAGGCGAGGATGAGGAAACGGAGGGGAGGAGGGGGAGGAGGAGGAGGAGGAGGAGGAGGAGGAGGAGGAGGAGGAGGAGGAGGAGAAGAAGGGGGTAATATCAAGAGGATTGCAAAAGCAAGATTGGGCGAAAGGGGGGTGCAGGAATTAATCAGGAATAGAAATTGAGAGTAGCCGAAGGAGGGAGCTGCATTACGGCATCCCCCTCTCCCCCTCCCGTTGCACAAGGTGCCCCCCGTATACAGGACGGTGTCATTGCGTTGTCTGCCGCCAGTGGCCACCTACCAGCCCGAACGGAGATCTGCGGGGGGTCGTCCCGCCACTCGCCTGAAATTGGAGCTGTGGACAAGTTCCTTTTGCCTCTGACCTCTCCCTCTCCTCCTTCCTTCGCCTCTTCAGGGCATTTGTTTTGTCCATCCTCCCTGTGTCGATGCTCGCCCCTTCCTCCCCTTCCGCTCTCTCCCCCATCCCTCGCCGCCCACTCCCCCTTTCACCCGGCGCGCGCCCTGCCCCTCCTCTCCCTCCCCCCCCCTCCCTCCCCTGCCTCCCCCCCCCCCTCCCCCCCCCCCCACTTCTCACGCTCGCCCGCCCCCCTTCTCGCCCTCGCCCCCCTACCTCCCCCCCCCTGCACACTCGCCCTCGACCCCTCCGGTGCCTCCAACCCCTTCGCCCCTCTCTCTCTCGCCCCTCCCGGCCTCCACCCCCTGACCCCTCCCTCTCGCACCGCTCTCCTGATTCCCTTCCTGTCCTCCTCCGCCTCCACTGCCTCTCCCTCCCTCCCCAGCCATCCTCCTCTCCCGTCTTCCATGCCGCCACCTGCCCCCCCCCCGCTGCCGCTCGCCAATGCCCGCTTGTCGTAGATCGCCGTCGTGCGGCACATCGCCACCCGACGTAACACAACAAGCAGTAACAACGACGCCACACCACGCACCCCGTCGTCGTATATAGTCGCCGTATGTTTTGCATGCTTCGCGGTCGAGGCGTCACTTCACCGGAGGAGGAGCACTACCTCTCGTCGTCCTGCCTTTCGCCGTATGGGTCCTCGTCGTCGTCATCGTCTCGCCGTTCGTCGTCGTCGCCCCTCGCCGTCGCCGCCGCCTGCCGCCGCAGGCGGCGACGAGGACGGCCCGAGGCTCGAGCACGTCCACGCGCTCCTGAGCTTCCTGATCGGCCAGACCGCCCTCACTCACAGCGTGGAGGCCGGGAGGGCGGTGCAGTCGACCCGCATAGCAAGGGTGAGCGACCTTCCAGGGCTGCCCGCGCATCCCTTCCCCCCCCGGCCCATCCTCAGCGACTTTCGCTGGCCAGCCTCGTCCGAAAAACGTTCACGTGGCCCTCCAAGGCCCTTGCATCCTTACCGCGCATCCTTTTCATACGGCTTGACGGTACGATCAGGAGCCTTTGCTTATCGGGGCGACCGAAGTGGGTACGAAAATAACGGGAACGCAGATCAACAGCAATTCCTGCTGATCTTGAACAAGGCTCGTTGTCGGCAGCACCGCCGCGGACGCTGTCCATTTGGGGCGACACGTCACTTAACCAGCATCGGCCGCTGTCGGTTCTGGACAACATTTGTTGTTGGACATCGTGCCCATGTTTTCGTACCCATCTCGGGCGGCCAAGCTTAGCGTGCCGCGTCGCCAGGTCTAACGCACCGCGCTTTGGCGCGGCACGCTAAGCGCGCCTAGCCCCCAAGCACCAACGCCCCCAGCTTTCCAGCCCCCAGTTTTTCCCAGCCTCCCGCTCCACGAGGCGCTGCGACGTGCCCTCGGATTGCAAGGCATAGCGTGCCGCAGGGGCCACCACGACGACACTCTAAGCAACTGCTCCTTACCGTATACTACTGCTGCTTGCCACAATGTTTGTTCATTGCCGTCCTTTTCCTTTTCCACATCTGCCTCCTGGCTCTTCTTCTCGCGTGCCTCCGGTCAAGCATGTTGATTGTGTCCCCCTCCGCTCGCTTCGTCACAGATTTGCCGTGTGCCTTCTCCCCTTGTCTGCTTTTGATCCCTCTCCCTCGCTCACTCAGTGGGTTTTTTATACCCCTTGCCGCATTTTTATTCGTCAGGGCTTCACCCTCTGCCGCTGGCCTTTTCGCCATCATAATGGGATATGCCAGAGCTGCGTTGGGATGCCAGGGCGCCGACTTGAAGCAATTACCGAGCGAGGTCGGCTGGCAGCCGTGACGTAATTTCCAAAACACCGTGCCCTCGGGGGCGCGAATCTGCATACTTTGCCAGGTATTGGCGCCTGAGGGGGCGAACCCGTGGTAGTTCTAGACGCTTTACGTGACCCCACCAGCCCATCCAGAAATGATGCCCAGGCAAGTTGCCGTCATACCCCAAGAGGGGAAGGATGGTGGAGGAATCGGAGGAGGGGGAGGGGGAGGAGGGGGAGGAGAAATAGGCGGATGAGAAAGAGGAAGACGAGGAGGAGGAGGAGGAGGAGGAGGAGGAAGAGGGCTAGCAGAAAGGCCAGAGGCCTCTTGGATGCTTCTCGGCGGCATCTCCTCGGATGTCTCTTGAGAGCTTATCGGAATCCTCTTGAGGCGCCTTTGCGGCCTCTTGGCGGTCCCGGGGACTTCTTGAAGCGTCTTGGGTGCCTTGGGGGAGTCTAGTGGGACCTCTAGGGGGCCTTCTTGGGGACCATCTTGGAGGATTTCGATCAACAAGGGAGGCCCCTAATGAAGGCCCCCCTCTAGAGCCCTTGATGTCGCCTCTTGGACCCCTCTTGGAGCGCTCTTGGGGCCGTCTTGGGACCCTCGTGGGCTTCTCTTGGGGCTCTCGTGGGCCTTCGTGGAGGCATCTTGAGGTCTCGGAGGGCCGTCGACACCGAAGGTCCCGGTGCTACCGCCCGCATGCGTCCCCACCACCCAGTACAGCGCTTCGTGGCCCCATAGGGAGCTCCGCCGAAGGCCCCAGTGCTACCGCCCGCATGGATCCCCTCCACCTAATCCCCTCCACCCGGTACAGCTTTCCGTGGCCACAGGGAGCTCCACGGACGGTCCACGTGCTGACCCGCATGCATCCCCACCACCCAGTACAGCGCTTCATGGCCCCATAGGGAGCTCCACCGACGGCCCTAGCGCTACCGCCCGCATGCGTTCCCACCACCCAGTACAGCGCTTCGTGGCCCCATAGGGAGCTCCGCCGAAGGCCTCAGCGCTACCGCCCCCATGCCCCATGGAGAGTTCCACCGACGGCCCCAGTGCTACTGCCCGCGTTCGCCCCCCGCACCCCCCCACCCAGTACAGCGCTTCGTGGCCCCATAGAGAGCTCCACCGAAGGCCCCAGTGCTGCCGCCCGCGTGCGCCCCCACCACCCAATGCAGCGTTTTGTGGCTTCATGGGGCCACGAAACGTTTGAGGAGTGTGCCGAAATCGGCTTTCGGGGCGCATGCGGGCGGTCCCACTGGGGCCTTCGGTGGGGCATCCTATGGGGCCACGAAGCGTGTGAGGGGTGTGCCGAGTTGGGTTTTCGGGACGCATGCGGGCGGTGGCACTGGGGCCTTCGGTGGAGCTCCCTGTGGGGCCACGAAACGTTGCACTGGGTGGGTGAAACGAAGGGAGGGAGGAAGGAGGAGGAAGGAGAACGCGGAAACAGTTTTTTTCAAAACAATGACCCACCACCACAGGATGGTTGGGGAAAACAATCAGATCGTCACTGAGCTCCCTGCTTGAGTTCCACTGGGCATCACCTGAAGGAATTCGGGGCCGACCCAAACGCTGACCAGACGCTTTCTCTGATCCCGATGGTGTGACTGGCCGCAGGCAGAGCAGCCCTCGTATGTCGCAAAGTTCGTCGGCAAGAACCAGCCCGCCGACCTGCCCAGCTGCCGTGAGGTCCGGGGCCGCGCGGGGCTGGTCCTCGGTCACCTGGCGGGGTCGCTCAAGCCGCCCGTGAGGCCCCTGGGGCGCCGAAGCTTTGCCGGTGTTGCCCTGTCTCATCTTGCCTTCAGGCTCCCCAGGCATGCCTGGATCGTGAAAAAGGAAAACGGCAGGAGGATTTCGATAGTTTCTGGCCTCTGGGGGCCATCGCCAGGCCTCAGGACTGTCAAAAGCCGACTCACGATGCAAAACGGGCCCTTGGGAAAGAGTCGGGGTTTCTGTGGGCCCCGTCCTGAAACACGTTATCCTGGCGAAAGACCCACAAGTATGCAGTTGTGAATACCGCGGTGTGTTTTCCTCGGAGCTCCATATGGGTCCTATGGGGCCATGAGGCGTGTGAGAGGTGTGCCGTGATGCTGGTAGGGTGCCGAAGTGGGGCAGGGAGGCGCATGTGGACCCTCTCACTGGTGCCTTCGGTGGAGCTCCTTGCGGGTGCACGAAGCGTGCGAGGGTTGTGCCGACAAGGAGCAGGGAGACGCATGTGGGCCCTGCCACTGAGGTCTTCGGTTGAGCTCCCTATGGGCCACGAAACGCTGTGCTGGGTGGGGGAGACGCATGTGGACCCTGTCACTGGTGCCTTCGGTGGAGCTCCCTATGGGCTACGAAACGTTGTAGTGGGTGGGGGGGGGCGCATGTGGACCCTGCCGCTGGGCCTTCGGTGGAGCACTCTATTGGCCACGACACGTTGTACAAGATGGGGGACACGCATGTGGACTCTGCGTTGGGGCCTTAGGTGAAGCTCTTTACGAGACCACGGAACGCTGTACTGGGTGGGGGAGACGCATGTAAACCCTGCCACTGGGGCATTCGAAGGAGCTCCATATGGGGCCACGACGCGGTGTACTGGGGGGGACACGCATGTAGAGGTAACCGTTGGGGCATTCGGTGGAGCTCCCTATGGGCAACGAAACGTTGTACTGGGTTAGACGCATGTGAACCTTCTGGTGCCTTTCGGTGGAGCTCCCGATGGGGACACGAAGCGTGCGAGGGGTGTGCCGAAACAAGGGGATGCGGAGGGCAAGGATGCAAGGAGGAAGGAGGAGAGGAAGAGACGCGGGGTACTGTCTCTTCAAAACGAGGAGCCCGCGCCACAGGATGGTTGTCAACAAGACATCGGATGTCTGGGGCTCTGGTGCTGCCAACGGCGCGGCGCGGGGCTCTGCCTCGGTTTCGGAGCGCGAGGCCTTCGCGTATCGTTCTGGCTGGAAGCACGTGCTGCTGAAAGATGGGGTCGGTTGTTGCTTGCGCAGGGTAGGAGGGTTTTCTTGCTCGTTGAGCTGGCCGCGGCTCCGCCTTCGACACAGATGTTCTGCTGATCGTCTTCCCTATTATGTTTGTCATTGTGTTCATCTTTTGCATTCGTACACCTGCTGTTGCTTCCCCCCGTTTGCTGCTGCATCGTCCTCTTCGGAGGAGGGCCTCTGCGGTCTTCCGGTGAGTGGGACGTGTGGGAAGTGAGCTTGGCTATAGTTGTCCCCTCCTCCCCCTTCGCCACCTCCTCCTCCCACTTCCCCGCTTCCTCCCGATCCACACTCTTGCTCCCTCTCCCTCCCGTCTCTATCCCGCTTCTTCTTCCCCCCCCGCTCCCTCCCCCGCTCCAACGCACAGTGAAGGTCGATGTCTCCTTGGGTCACTCTTTAGACGTAATTGTCTGACGTGTACGGCCAGGAACTTTGGCTTAGCGTGTCGCTCTGTCGGTTCTGGCCCGTCACGCTTGCGACACGCTATCCGCGTCTCCATGCCAAAGCGTCAACGTCCTGAGTTGTTCTCCGCCTTCCGCCCCGCGGAGCGGAGCGATATGCTATCTGTTTGCAGGACAGAGCGTGGGGCAACCCATGGATGGCGCATTCTATTGAGCAGTCCATGGCGCAACTCATGGCCAACGAGGCCGAAGTCGAGGAGGAGCTGGCCGACGAGGCCCAGAGTGGTTGGCCCTTGCAGTCGCTACGGGGCTCCGTTCGCCTCATGCTCGCCGTTTGGGTGGCAGGGGCTTTGCAGGGGCCCGTGAGGCGGACTGTCGTGTGATCAGCTCCAGGGAGTTTTGCCGATCGCTCCGAGGTGTGGATGCCAGGATCGTGGAGCATCCATGTTGGCATGGATCTGTACACACAGATCCCGACGCGAAAAGGACTGGGGCCCGCATTCCCATCCTTCCTCCCTCGGCTAAGTTGCAACGTCGGCGGCATCCTAAGAAGCCTGGCGTCACAGTTGATTTAGGCACGTTTCGCCATAGACTGACTGTTCTGGTGCGCGCGTCGCTGTGCAGGCCTCGCTCCAAGTTCGCAGCGTGCCCGCTCTCCACTTGCCTGTCCGCTCATTTGGTCGATGGAGGGTTGACCTCAAACAACAACAACAACATCCACAACAACAACACCAACACTAACCAACAACAACAACAACAACAACAACAACAACAACAACAACAACATCCACAACACCAACACCAACACTAACCAACAACAACAACAATCATGTTAAGACTGTTCGCTCTTACTGGCACGCGTGTCTTGCATTCTTTATACCCCAACCCTCGATGCCCGCCCACTTCGTCTTCGATTGCACCCCTTTTCGGGGGAATTATCTTCCTTGTCAGCCACTGACTGAATGAAGTGCGAGGAAGTGTCGAGCGCGAGAGTGCCGTTCCTGAGTTCGGAGGCCTCTCTGGCCAGGGGCTCCGGAATACCTATTGAGAAATATCGAACGGAAACCCTTATCGCCATGTCTGGGTCTCCTTCGACTTGCCTGAATTACGAGAAGGTCTCGAGCGAGAGCGCCGTTCTTGAGTTCGGGGGTCTTCCTGGCCAGGGGCTCTCGGAGTAAATCGTGGGGAAGTATCGAGCAGGAATCCTTCTCGTCGTGGCTGGGCCTCCGCCAACTTGATTGAATGGCAAGGAAGTCTCGAGCGAGAGCACCGTTCCTGAGTTCGGGGCTCTATCTGGCCAGGGTGTCTCGGGGTAAATTGTGAGGAAGTTTGAGCGGGAGCCGTTGTCGTCGTAGTTGGGCCTCCAAGGGCCCACATGTAGACTTAAGCCAACGCTCGCGCGGGAGCCTCGTTTTCAGAGAAAATGTAGCCGGCGTCGTGGCGAGAGCGCGCGGAAGTGTTTACAACAACAACAACAACAGCAACAACAACAACAAACATTTTTAAGATTGTTCGCTCGTATCTGCTCATGTGCCAATTAATACGTATATCCCAAGCCCTCGGTACCCGCCCTCGTCGTCTTCGATCGTACCCCCTTGGGGGTATATCTTCCTTACCTGCCACGCGTATTCAGTGCAGCCCCTAAAACAAGGGAAGAGAGGACGGGTTGAAGGGGGAGGGAGAAGAATGGAGCACGAGAGAAAGTAGCAGGAGGGGGGCAAGGAGCAGAAAACAAGTGGTAGAACCAGACGGGCAGATCGGGTGGGCAGACCCATAACGGGCAGGTCAGGAAGCCGGACCCAGGCGACGGGTCGAGCAGGCGGGTTGCTGAAGCGTGCGTCCTGCATGAATCGTGAGGAAGTCTCGAGCGATAGCGCAATTCCCAAGTAAGTCGTGAGAAAAACCAGCGTGGGACACGAAGGGCATAAAATCCGAGGCCACAGAGGGCAGCGACGTGGCTGCTGAGGGCAGCACCAGGGCCACGAAGGGCAGCGATGGGGGCCACAAAGGGCGACAGCGGGGCCACGAAGGGCATGCAGATGGGGCCACGACGGGCGCGAGCGAGCGGATGCCACGAAGGGCATTCGTATACGGGGCCACAAAGTGCGACAGCGGGGCCACTGAGGGCAGCAAAGGGGCCACGAAGGGCAGCGAGGGGGCCACGAAGGGTGACAGCGGGGCTACGAAGGGCATGCAGATGGGGCCACGACGGGCGCGTGCGAGCGGGGGCCACGAAGGGCATGTAGTGCTGGGCCACAACGGGCAGCGACGGGGCCACTGAGGGCAGCAACGGGACCACGAAGGGCAGCGAGCGAAGGCGACCGCGGAACCAGCAGGGGCAGTGAGGGGCATCGAAGGCGGCGAAGGGCAGCGATCGGCGACTGCAGTCATTAACGGGCTGGTCGGGCGGGCGGGCCCCGACGGGCGGGTCGAGCGGGCGGGTCGTTGAAGCGTGAGTCTAATTTGAACCTCCAGGCAATCTGTAGCGGGAACGCGATTCCGGAGTGTCGAGGACTGGCATCTGTATAAATTGTAAGGAAATATCAAGCGAAGCGTCTCGGTGGTAAGGAGGGGCATTTCAATCGACAAAAATTATATGTGCACCGGGCGGGGGGGATCAACAACAAGTATTCTTCAGAAGTGAGAGTTCAACAGCAACAACAACAGCATTAACAACAACATCACCGCCAACAAGAACAACAATAGGAACAGCAGCAATAACAATCAGTTTAATAAGGTTTGCTCTTATCTGCTCGCGGGCCATTCAAAACGTAAAAAAGTCATCGGTAGCTGCCCTCTTCGTATTCGATCGTGCCCTCTTGGGTATGTACGTCTGTCTCTCTGTCTGTCTGTCTGTCTGTCTGTATGTATGTATGTATGTAGGTGTATATGGTTACTCGCGACGTGCATTTCGTGCAGCCCCTGAGGCAGGGGAGGAGAGGACGGATGAAAGAAACGGACAAAAGGGGGAAGAGGAGGATGGAGCGCAGAAAACACGTGGCACAGCCAGACGGGAAGATCGGGCGGGTAAACCCTAACGGGCGGGTCGGGAAGGCGGGCCCAGGCGACCGGGTCGAGCAGGCGGGGTGCTGAAGCGTGCGTCCTGCATGAATCGCGAGGAAGTCTCGAGCGATAGCGCGATCCCCCAGTAAATCGTGAGATATGCCAAAGCGAGAGAGTGATTCTTGAGTGTCGAGGGCGCGGCGTCCGAATACATTGCGGGGACGTCCCAAGCGAGAGCGCGATATCTGCATACATTGCAAGGGGGTCCCGCGCGTGAGCGCGATTTAGGAGTACATTGTGAGGAAGTCTTTGGCGGGAGCCGTTGTTGTTATTGTTGTTGTTGTAATTTGAGGGCCAAGGGCCCAGTTCGGTAACACCCTGATTTATTTATTTTGTATTAGACAAGGTGCGAGCACCGGGAGAAGCATCTGAATTGGAAACATAGAACGGTTACTACACAGGGGGACCAACACAATTTGAAATTTTGGAAAAAGAATTCAAACGCAATACCACCACCAACAACAAGAGCAATCAGTTTAAGACGGTTCGCTCCTATCTGTTCTCGTGCCATTCGTTACGTGTAAACCAAACCCTCGATCGCCGCCCTCTTCGTCTCCTATCGTGCCTCCTTGGGGGTCTATTTTTCTCGCCCGCGCGTGTACTTAATGCAGCCCCTGACGCAGGGGAGGGGAGGAGGATGGAACACGAGAGAAAGAGAGAGAGAGAGAGAGAGAGAGAAAAAAAAAAAGAGAGAGAGAGAGAGACAACAAAAAGAGTAGCCAGAGAGGGGGCTGGGAGCAGAAAGTTGCGGGCTGATCGGGCGGGTAGGCCCCAACGGGCGGTTCGGGAAGGCGGGCCCCGGCGGCCAGGTCGAGAAGGCGGGTTGCTGAAACGTGCGTCCTGCATGAATCGCGAGGAGCTTTCGAGTGATAACACGATTTCCAAGTACATCGTGAGAAGACCAGAGCGAGATCTTGATTCCCTGGTGTCGAAGGCGCGGCGTTTGAAAATATTCCAGGCACTCCGACGCGAAAGCGCGCTTCCTATATAAATGGTGGTGGAATCCCGCGCGAGAGCGAGATTTTTGAAGATTGAGGAAGTCTCAGGCGGGAGCCGTTTTTGTTTTGACTCAAGGGCCAAGGGCCCAATTTTGAGACCCAAGAGTTTCCTGGATAGAAACGAGGTGCGAGCTCTGGGAAAGGGCACTTCACTTGAAAAACACCATGTGCCCTGGAGGGGTGATCAGCCATCTTGCGAACGTTACAACAACATCTACAACTACATTTACAACTACAACATTCACAACAATCATGGTAATAGAGTTCGCTTCATTTGCCCGCGTGCAATACGTATATCCCAGTCCTTTGATACCCGCCCCCTTCGTCTTCGATCGTGCCCCATTGGGGGGTATACCTCTCTCATCTGCAACGTGTATTTCATGCAGCCCCTACGGCAGGGGAGGAGAGGACGGATGGAAGAAACGGACAATAGGGGGAGGGAGGAGGATAGAGCACGAGAGAGAGAGAGTCGCAGGAAGGGGGCTGGGAGCAGAAAGCACGTGTCAGAACCAGACGGGCAGATCGGGCGGGTAGACCCTGACATGCGGGTCGGGAAGGTGGGCCCGGGCGGCCAGGTCGAACAGGCGGGTTGCTGAAGCGTGCGTCCTGCATGAATCGCGAGGATTTCCTGAGCGACAGCACGATTCCCGAGTAAATCGTGAGATGGGCCAAAGTGAAGGCGTGATTCCTGAGTGTCGAGGGCGCGGCGTCTGAATAAACTGGAGGAAGTCCCAAGCGAGAGCGCGATTTCTGCTTACATTGCAAGGAAATCCCGCGCGAGAGCGCTATTTGGGAATACGTAGTGAGGAAGTATCAGGCGGGAACCGATGTTGTTGTAACTCTGGGGCAAGGGGCTTAATTTTGAGACCCACGACTCCCCCTTGCAAACAACAGGGTGCGAGCCCCGGGGAGGGCACTTCAATTTAACAACGCAATGAACAGGAAAAGGCCTCGCTCCCCCGCCCCACCTCTGTGAGGCTGGTGCTGTGGCCCATGCTGCTGCAGACGCTCGTGAACCCCGCGATGCGCCCCGGCCTCCCCGTCCTCTGCCGCGCCGTCACGCAGATCGTGGACAGCGTTCGGCCCGCCGCCGCCACCGCGGGCGCCTCCGCGCAGGCGTGCCTCGTGGCCGCTCTCCTCTGGGCCGGCCCGCCGCTGGCCACCTGGCCGGGCCGCACACGATCTGATTCGATGCGATTTGATTCGCTGGCTGGGGCCGCGATTCGGATCCTATTCGGTTCGGCTCGATGCACCGTCATCGGCCAGGACCACCAGAACCGAGCGCAGCGGCCCGATTCCGATTCGATTCGGGGCGATTCGCTGGCGATCCGATCCGTTTCCGATCCGCTCCGATGCTTCGATTCGATCCACCTCGGGCTTGGCTGCCCTTCTCTGGGCCGGCGCGCTGCTGGCCATCGCTTGATGGCCCCTGGGCCCCAGTGAACGACTCCGGACGCCGAAGTCTCGGAGAGGCGCTAGCATTGCGGCCCAGCTCAGGCCAGAGCGGAGCACAACAGGTCAGCTCAGAGTAGCGCAAAGCGAGAGAGAGAGAGAGAGAAAGAGAACACGCAGAGAATTACAAAGCATTGCGTTGCCGCGCAGCGCAGATCATCCAGCTGCAGGTCGGTGAAAAGCCATGCAAGGCAGCGCATGCGACGCAATGCAAAGAGATGCCGAGCCACGCAAAGCAGTGCGAAGTAAGACCTGGCTGCTAGTGCCAGGCAATGCAGAGCAATGCTTAGCAATGCAGCGCGAGAACAATCAACGCGACCCAAAGCGAACCGAAGTAAACTAGTATAACACATGCAAGCAATACAAAGGGCACAAGGCCGTGCAAATCCGTGCATAGCCCGAGGCGAAGCCGTGCAAATCCAAGCACACAGCAGCTCACGCGAAGCAATGCAATCCAATGCAAAGGAGCGCAAAACATCGAAATCCATACAAAACAAAGCAGTTTGATCCAATGTGGTGCACTGCCATGCAAAGTAGCGCATATCAACACACTGCAACGCACCACGTGGCAACACAAAACAATGCAGAGCAGCGCGCAGCAACGGAAGAAAGAGGTCCAGGCACTGCCGAAGAGCCCCAAGGAGTTCCCGAGGCATCCCCAAAGAACCTCTGCGGACCTGGAGGGAGGGACCCGCGTCGCACCGAGTGCCAAATGGGGCCGCAGGATGGCGCCGCATCGCCTCTGCATTCGGGCGGCCTCCACCTGTGGACAGACGACTTGGGGCAAGGTCGAGACGTCGAATGTCTGAGAAGCCTCGATAGCCCTGCGAGGGCTCACAGAAGGCAGCGCACGGCGCGAGATCCGTACCCAACATTACTTCCAGAGGGCCGTGCAGATTGGATCGGCCCCTGGCGTGCTGAGCGCGCTAGGGGCGGCGCCGCAGGCGCCGCCAAGGGGGTCCGCACGGACCTCTGAGTTTATAGTTTTGTTTTTTTTGATCGGACTGGGACTCTGGAGCCTGGCGAGGGCCTCGAGAGACCGACGTCGACGGCCCCGGGACCCGGCGAAGGTTCTTGTTTCCCCATTCATTTCTTGCACTGCAGGGGTCCTCGTGGATACCGAGAGACTACAGGTCAAGATTTGGGCCCGATTTCGGTGGGCGGCCAGGTTCCCGGGTTCCTCGTTCCAGGTTTTGGGCAGATTTCGGTGGGCGGCCGTGTTCCTAGCTCCAGTTACTGGTCCAGGGTTGCCAGCGCGGTAAGGTTTCTGGGTGTGTGGGTTTTTGTTTCGAGTATTTGCGATCAGGGTCATAATGGTTATGTCTGCATAAGCACCTGCATGTTATTGGTCGTAGAGAAGACATTTCAGCTAGCAGACAGGATAGTTCATCAGAGAAGGGGGGATTGAGAGTAGCTATTGGGGAATTGAGGGCGTAGCTTTTCTGAGTTCTATATAGAGAAAACATGAATGTGTATATATATATATAGATATGTAGAGAGAGAGAGAGAGACGGAGTACATAGAGAGAAAAAGGGATAACTATATATATGCACTTATATATATATATGTATATGTGTATAAATGTATGTTTAGGGACATCAAGAAACGTAGAGCACTTGCGACCACGGCTATGTATTCATTTGCATATACAGGAAAACGGGAGGGAGGGAGAGAGGGAGAGGAAAACAAACAAACACAACATATATAGAGAGAGACAGAGATATGTGAGAGAGAGAGTAGATAGTACAGACGAGATCGTACGTATCAGAGAATACAGAGCAGAGTTGAGTAGAGAGAGGGAGGGAGAAAGAGAGAGAGAGAGAGAGAACCAACAACAAATAATAAACTGTAGGGATTGTTTAATCGAGCGCGGAGGGAGTTAAACATGTGCACAACATAAAACAAACACATAGGCAGAGAGAGAGAGATAGAGAGCGAGCGAGGATCCGAGAGATGGAGAGAGAGAGAGAGAGAGACAGAGCGGGAAGGCGTGTAGTGCCTGCTAAAGGTTCAGGAAGTCCTCTGCTTGGGTTTTTTCCTGTTGTGATTCGGCTGCTTTCTTCCCCTGGGATTACCAGTGCCGATGCTGAAGACAGGCCTGGAGCGGTCCGCGCGGCAGCCAAGACCCAGGAGCCTGGGCCGTCCGGGGCAGGAGCCCTGCAGTGCATGAGCCGACCGGCAATCAGTAACCCACGCAGTGCAGGCTCTGGTGCTCGGCGCTCGCACGGGTGGCAGTCGGGGTCGGTGGGTTGCCAGTTACGCTGATGCACCGCCACCGAGAACCCATCGGGAGGCGCCAGGGGAAACCAGCTCTGTCAGCTGATTCGCGAACCCGCATTTTCCTAATCGCCCCTTCGTCCGACCCGCTGCGGCGCCGCGGGTGCTTCGATGGCGTGTGCGCGCGCGCCAATCAGCTTGCTCAAGCGGCGCAGCCCGAAGTCATTCGCAGCATCTGCTCACCAGTTCCGCGCGCACACGAAGCCTCGACGCCCACCCCCTGCCCCCGTCACTCTACTGCGGCTCTTGGTACATCTTGACATCTGAAACAAACATGTAAGAGGAAATCTTGCTACAAGAAGACTCGGGGCACGCTTGTCGTCGAGCTTCCAGCTTCCCTAGGCGACCCAGGGCTTCCTTGGGCCCCACGGGCCATCGGAAGACAAGGTTTGCGCCAGATTTCTGTGTATGTGTTGCTTCATGGAGGTGTTCTGTCCTCGAGCAGGGTCGTCTCGACCCCCAGTATGTCGCCCGCTGGCAAGCCGGACCTTGAAAGGGGGTGGCGCCGTTGTGGCCGCCCAGGCCCAGGAAAAACGGCACCGCAAGCGTAGCACACAGCTCCCCAGGCAGCGCCAGTCGGTGTCGGCGGTTCCTTTTTTGGACCACGGAGTCCATGTGAGGCTTGTTTGCGCCGTTTCTGTTTAATCATTCGAACGCCTGGTGATGGATTCCGGTCCCCCGAGAACGGTGGCCCATCGTGGCACCCCTTCGTTGCCCCCATCGTGCATTGGGTCAAGCTGTTCAGTGACTTCTGCCGCAAGGGTGTCAATTTCTGTTCGGGCCCACGTTCCCTGGACCTCCGCAGGAGCCATTTCGATTCTGCCGACTCGAAGCGATTCGGTTTCGAGGATTCCGATTTCGATTCGATTCTGGATTCTGACTTCGTGGTGGACTTCCTTGTGTATGCCAAGGCCCGGGCTGGCGGACGTCGATTCCGATGCCTTCCGATCTGCCTGCCGTCGATTCGATGCATCTCGGTTGCCGATTCGATTTTCCGCTTCGAGATTTTGGCCATCCTGCCTCCGTGGTCGCCCCCCCCACGGCGCCCAGGCGTTCCTGGACCTGGCGCAGTTCCTGCAGCCCGGGCACGAGCGGAGCACGCAGCCGGAGGCGCTGCTCATGTGGCTGCTCATCTGCGCGCACAGCCCCCACGAGACCCCCGGGCTCGGCCTCGCGGTGCGCCCTGCAGGGGGCGCGTGGCCCGCACTGCCGAGGGGGGGATTGTTTCGCAGCGCCAGCCCCGGGACGTGCCCCTGGGCCTCCCAAGTGGAGTCCGAGCAGATGGGGTCCATGGATCGCCGATGCATCGGCGATGCATCGGCGGTGCGGCTCGATGCGGATCCCGCTGCTCTTCATGTCGACGTCGCCGATGCGTCGCCGACGTCGACGATGCATCGCCGATGCATCACCGATGTATCGTCCACGCGGCGCGATCCTACGACACCACCTACTAGGACCCCATGTGTCACCACCCACCAAACCACCCCAACCCAACCCGAAGGCCTCAATTTGCCCTCCATTTCCAGTTGGGGGGGGTCGGGGAACACTGAAAAAACACATGTGGAACGCGTACCCCCCCCAACCCGAAATTGGGGGTCTTCGGGTTGGGTTGGGGTGGTCTGGTAGGTAGTCAATGTGGGAGGCCTCTAGTCGCGACCCCTCCCCTGGGGCTTATTCTCACCCACGAGTCGTGGGAAGTCCCTGTGGCCCAGCGACGGCCCCCCGAGGCGGAGAGCAGTCGAACACCGTCCGTCCTGAGTCCTGTCACGACGCGCTGGGCGTCCCGGGGGGGGGGGGGCCGGCGAGAGAGGCAAAATTGGTAATCCCCAAACGTGGTGGTGACAACACCTGGCGGTGAGTCTCGGGCGATTTGGTGTCACCACCCGGTTTGGGGGCTCATGCGCTTGTTCGCGGATGTCCCGAACGCTGGTGGGTCCAGGAGTCACAAGACCCGGCGGTGAGCCCGTGTCCCAAAACTTGGGGGTGACTTTTTGGAGATTCCAGGTCACCACCTGATATCTCACCACCTGGTTTGGGGGCTCCCAACAAAAGGGGGAGGGAGCCGGAGGGGCGGGGGGGGCGAGAGAGGGAGGCAGCAGACGAAGCCGATGGCGTGCGCGCAGGCGGGAGGCCCGTGGTCGGCGGGGCAGGGCATCGGCGGCTGCACTCGCGCACGCGCCCGAGCTAGAGGAGGAGGG